GACTTGTATACACAGCGCTGCTCCCTGGTTCCTCCCCTATTTCTTATCCTTTCATACTTAATTTGGGTGTCATTTCTTCCAAGACACTCTCCTGAAACTAAGTGAGGTGACAACTTCTCCCCAGGTCCCCTGTGGCTGGTGGACAGGAGGAGGCCTCATGCTCCGTCCTGTTTCTCCAGACCCGTGTCCTGGCCGTAGCGGTACAGTTGCTGCTCACCCAGTGCATGTTGAAAAGCACGTTTTTCTACTCGTCCAAGAGAGCCAGTCCTTGGGTCCCCTGCACAGGTTATGAGTAAATTGAAGGCCACGTTAAATAATAGGACCTGCACAGATGGCCCTGTTTGCCGTTACAACAGTTCAGTTTGCAAGGTGTTATATGCTCCAGAAGGTGACTAATTTGATGTATTGTAACAGTGTGTGTGTGTTATTTTACACGAATACATTTTATTTATTTACTTACTTTCTTTTGATTTCAAGACAGACAACGAGAGGATATTCTCACAGCACCTTCAGAACAGACTGCTTCCTGACCACACGTACTCGGTGGTCTCCGGAGGCGATCCGCTGTGCATCCCGGAGCTCACCTGGGAACAGCTGAAGCAGTTTCACGCCACTCACTATCACCCGAGTAACGCTAGGTAATATTTGGTTTTGAAAGTTTCCTGGTGGATTTTTATGAGTTGATTTGTTTGCTTTTTTACACTAAATGACATGGCTTTTTTCACATTTAGCAAAGAAACGTTTGCTTAAGAAATATGTGAGTCTAGATAAGATCTGTTGCTTAAGTTTGTCCCTGTCTGATTTACCGGGACAGTCAAGTAGACCATCTGCAGCGGTAGCTCCGTATGGTGGCTGCAGGCTCAGCGGGCAGAGTCCCGGCCCCACCTCCTCACCTCCAGGTCCCAGCTCTGTCACAAGTAGAGTGCGACCGCATGGGCGGCACCCACCTCGCAGGACTGACCGATACAGGATGCGCAAAGCGCTGAGCCCCGTCCTTGGTGCATGGAAGTGCTCTGTGAACAGGGCATGCAGTTTTTGAACTTTACATACTTTCTGATGAATTTCTTGTTTTTTATATCACTAATAATAAAACACTAATAATTATATTTACAAAGAAATGCAATGTCAAGTCATATTTGCATGATTATTTTATGTAAAAAATTAAATTTTTAACCATGAAAACTTTCAAGCATGCAGAAAAGTAGAGACTCGAATAATAAACCCCCTGATGCTTATCACATAAATAATCTTTTTCTTTGCTGAGGATTTTTTAAATAAATTGCAGATGCCATCATAATCATTTACCCTAAGTACTTGAACTTGTTGCCCTAAAACACGAAATATTTTCTTACGTAAGATAATACCATATTCACGTTCAACAGAGTAAAACATACTTTCTTAAAACCACCTATTTCTTATTCCATATTCAAATTTTCCGGTTGTCCCCAAAATGTTTGATCCAAATGAGGCCCACATGTCATGTCTTGTCAGCCCTTGGGCACCCACTTGTGGGGTGTGATCAAGTGGACTTTATTTATTTATTTTTATGCTCAAATTGTCCCAGCTGTGGCCCGTGGGGGTTCCTTTCTGACAGTGTTCGATCCTCAGGAATTTCTTTGGTTTCCACACCCCGAGGCCTCCCCGACGCCTGCACACCCGGCTCTTCCTGTCTCAGAGCTGCGGGAGTCCGTGATCTCTGTGGCTAGCGGAGAAGGCCGTGAGAGGCCGGCATGCGGACGTTGCGGCGCTGATCACCACTGGATCGTCTGAGCCCAGAGCGCAAAGCTTGTGTCTGAGCCCTTGAGTGCAAAATTTTTTCCCTGAATCTTAACCATACGGCGCAGTTAGAGAAAGATCAACTCTGTCATTGTAACTTTTCCTCTGGTTGAATAACCGTTAGCTTAAAACGTGTGTAACCTAAAATCTGTAGCCTAAAATTGACTTTTGTGAAAAACTTGGTCATTTGGA